TAAAGAAATAAGATTGTAGGTTAAGTTGCCACCTTCATACACACAGACTTGCATACACACCAGTCTTGAACAGCGTTGAAGGACTCCTCATTGGTGATGTCATACATGAGGATGAAGCCCATGGCTCCTCGGTAGTAGGCCGTGGTGATGGTGCGGTAACGCTCCTGACCTGCCGTGTCCTGGATGAAATAAATTAACAACGAAGCAGTTATTTCTCACGTCAGACAAGCCCTTTTCCGACACTGAACTGCAAACACCAACAATGATATAACTTATTTAGTTGTTTAAAACCTAAAAACATATTCATGATAACTAAAATGTGCATACGTCATTTCATATTTCATGATTATTTTTGTATAATTTAGTTGTATACAGAAGGTTTAGCCCACAAATCTGATTACAGATGCTCTAACCCCACAAATAACCAAGAGACAGATAGTGTTTCAATTCTATATGTCTCATATATTAATAAGAAGTTGTGTGAGAATGTGTGTTAACACAGCACTTTCTCTAAGACAGTATAGATTATCTCAGTGTAAATGATAAGTCTCTCTATGCTATGAACAAACACAGTGCTGTTGGAGAGCTGCTGAACACTGCAGAAGGAAAACTTTGTTCTGAACTCAAAGCTTTGGTGCATCAGCAAATTTATTTAAGCCAACATTTTATGTATCTTGAGTAAAATGTTGTGTGTGAGGAATGAGCTTATTCCCTCTGAAAAAACTTTATGAATTTTAACAGGCACTTTGGGAGGTAACACACCACTGACTCAGTGTTTCAACTTAATGAATTTGGCTGGTCTGATGATAAAGTAGAATCTGCAGGGTGCAGAAATTCAAGCCTCATTTTTTGTACTTTGTAACACTATTTTAACACATTTTATTTAAAGACACAATCCTTGCTTAGTTTACAACACACTTCAGTGCACCAATCTTCTATCCTTCTTTAAAGATTTGCAATCCTGATGCAACTTTAAGTGCACAAACAAAGACAAAAGATGGTAGAAGGGATAAAAGATTTACAGATTGTAGCAATAACCTGTTTTTAGATGTGTGTACTAGTGTTGACACAGTGCAAACGATTCAGTTTCTTATTTTAGAAATTATTCAAATGTAAATGGAGATCCACCCCAAAAAACAACGTCTGTGAATACTTAAGCTTAAAGATGGGACACAGACAGACAAACACACACCAAGTGTCAGACTTTACATGCAGTATTGTCTCCAGTAAAACCAGCTTAGTAAAATGCCTCCAATGTTTTTTTTTTCTACCAGCAGGTGACACTTCATCAACTCGCTGTGAGGGCTGCCTCTTCGTCCCTCGCTCTTTCTCCTTGGACGCAAACCCAGGTGAGGTTGAATTTCAGTGCTAAATTCTAATGAATGCTCAGAGAATACAAGCCTGGTGTTTCTGATAACCAACACTCTGCATCTCTCTCTCTCAGCCGAGCTGCTTCTGGTCCAACAGCATCACTCAGCTGTCAGTGTGCAGATCAGAAGAGCAAAAGACAGAAACTGACATCTGCAAAGTTGGGTGGAAGTAATCAGGTATAATTACTGCCCCTATGGTAAGTATGTAGTGTACCATAACATTTATGAGCATTTACATAATGTTAACAACTGCATTATAGTGTGTGATCTAATGTTTATATAATGCTTATAAATGCTAGATGGGCAAATGTGTTGGTGTGTTTATTATTTCAGACACATCACACCACATATACAGCAAATACATAGTTAACATTAAATGTTCTAGGGAATTATATTTATGCTGAATTATCTAAACAACACACACATAACATGAACTCCAATGTACATTCTGACATAGAGTCTATAGACGTGTACACACACAAATATACACAAATACAAACCTAACAGACATACTTCTTTTCTTTTCTTTTCTTGGACTCATCAAAGTGTCTTTTCATTCAATCACACATATTCTCAGGTCACAGTAATACTGTGATATATATCTGTAGCTCCATATTATTAGTGATAATGTGCTGCTACTGCAGTTTATGTCATCCACTCAGTGTGCTGCAGGCCGCTCGAGGTGAGAGCATCAGCTCTATACCTAAAATGTCAGTGTAGGTAGCACTGAGAGGTGTTACATAATGAACACATTGGAGTTCTTGTTTTACCATGAGCCCTGAAAACAGTTAAAGCTGTTAATGTTTTAGATGAGTGAACAGCTTGTGTGCTAAATTAAAATATTGTGATATAATGTAGTTAACCGCTATAACTAAGGTGAGAGCCTCGACATAAATTTGGCACAGATTGAGAAAAGCAAGAATGAATCATCATTGAGGATATGAAAGGTTTCTTTTTCATTCTTTAATTTTCATCAAAGGGATTTGATTTCAAATACAAATTTTAAATATTTGGGCTGTAGGAGATACAGTCTCACATGTTTAATATCTGAGATTATTGGTGAACTATGTGAAGCTTTTATTTAAATTTGCTGCTATTCTTTCTTTAAGTGCTACAGGAACATATATTTCTGTTGTTTATGACAGGTGATGGAGCTGTAAGGCAGTTTTATCTTCAAATAAACCCTCATTCAATGTTTTCCCTGCTTCGTGGACTTGTGAATACATTGTATTTTCACAGGAAAGTTTGATTTAATTCAATGAAACACGAGTCAAAAATTAAAATACATTGCAGACTAAGTAACACACTGCATGGACGGAGGAAGGTTTCTGAAGTAAGAGCAGAAAACTAGCGTGAACTGAGATAATAGAAAGACATGACAATATTTGTGGTTATGGTGCGGTATGTTACTGTTGTAAATATAATTAAAGTGCAGAATTTAAACACCATCTTTGGTCTGTTTGGTGGCAATATCAATGGATGTGAGAAGATTAAATAAAATTTGAAAATACATTAACACCATTACTTAAGTAATGTATCAACATTTGATGTATCCAGCCTATAAACATGAGAATGAGCTGATTTTCTGTATTTTATGTGATTATAAATTGATCTTTAGTTTGGCTGGACAAAACAAGATATTTGGAGAGGGGGCTCTGGACATTTCTTTTAGTACTTTCTGACATTTTATGGACTAAATTGTTAATTACTTGATTAAAGAATATTCAGAAAAATCAATAAAAAAAATATGTATTGGCTTCACACTTAACACAAGTGAGATAATATTTATAAACACATATAAGTCTATATAAATGGGATTAACTGTACTCACAATTATTATACATACTGTATGTTCACTTTTGAGCTCATTACTCAAAACCATCTTCATTTTTACTCTACAGTAGTCTCAGCTGAGAGAATTGCTGATTGGTGGGGGGATGGGGTTTTTGCAAGTGTAAGTGTATGTATGTGTGTGTGTGTGGGCATGTGCGGTCGGCAGGGAGGGGATATCTACTCGGGTAGATGTGTAGTAATGGGGGAGGGGAGAGCAACACCCAGTCATCCATTTCTCATGCTCTGATTGGCCGATCGTGTCTTCCTTACCAGAGGCAAGACCTGGCAAAGGCTGACAACAGAGAGAGCACTACACACACACACACACTCACACTCACAATGCTGTTCACCATCGTAACTCAGTCTGCTGCAGAACGTGCAGTAACAGTGGAAATGATGTTATGATCTACAACGCGTTACTGAAACACCAGTTTTCTGCAGGGAGTCTGTTCTCACAGCTCATGATTGTGTTCACTTCACATGTCTGATGCAACAAAACATCAGAAAACCCCACACCTGTGCTGTGTTTTCATATTGTGACGCTTCTATTGTATTCTATTGATTTCTACTTATGCAAGGGGCAGCTGGATGAGCAGGCTGCAGAGAGGATGACACTGTGTGCAAATATATGCATGTTCACTGAGATCTGAGGAAGGTCTGCATAATAAAACTGCACCACAGGGCAGCGTTTCACAGAGCCGCAGATAAGTCTGTTAGACGTGTTATAAAATATCTTATGAAATGTTATTTCCTGTATTATTAGATATAATTTAAAGGTGTAAAATTAAAAGGGTCTGTTGGCAGAAATGTAGTATAATATGCTTAACTATACCGATCAGCAATAACATTATAACCACTGGCTGGTGAAGAGAATAACACTGATTATCTCGTTATCATGGTACCTGTCAGTGGGTGGGATATATTCGGAAGCAACTGAACATTTTGTCCTCAAAGTTGATGTGTTAGAAGCAGGAAAAATGGGCAAGTGTAAGGATTTAAGAGACTTTGACAAGGGCTAGACAAACGGTTGGGTCCAGGAGCAGTCTCCAAAACTGCAGCTCTTGTTGGGGTGTTCCTGGTCTGCAGTGGTCAGTAGTTTGTGGTAAGTGGTCCGAGGGAAGGAAAAGCGGTGAACCGGGGACAGGATCATGGGTGGCCAAGGCTCATTGATGCGGGGGCCCTGTGGGGGGCGAAGGCTGGCCCGTGTGGTCCAATCAAACAGACGAGCTACTGTAGTTAAAACTGCTAAAACAGTTCATGCTGGATCTGATAGAAAGGTGTCAGATCACACAGTGCATCACAGTCTGTTGTGTATGGGGCTTTTATTTACAGATGCTGCGGATTGCTTTCAGCATCGAATGTACAACCCAAGCTTGCAGCCTTGAAAGTTTCTCCATCATTCTTGGAAAGGGAGAGTGAAGTGACAGAGTTTCATATCCGCGACTACACTGCTAGATGCCACTAAATCCAACACACTGAAACATGACTAATAGGTTTCAGGTTTCGTTTCAAAGGTTCAAAGTGAGTATCACATTGATGTGTCTTGTCATCTTTCTCTTAAGCATCAAGCCTTCACCCTCTGATTATGCTTTTACATTCAGATGTAGACCAGGTGCTCTCAAAACAAACCACCAGAAGTAAACGTCTTTACAGCTGCTCTGAGCTGAATGCCTGCTACCACTGAGAGATACAAGATGCAAAAACAAATGTTGTAATTTTGCACCTCCACACACCTGAATACGCAAAGCATGCAGAGGAAAGAGAGAATCAAATGCACTTGGTAGAAGCACAAGGAAAAAGTTGGACACATGTGGCCCAAAGGTGATATGTGAAACTGCAGCAACATGGGACACTGGGGGGAATTGGGGAAAAGAGACGAAAGCTGTGTGTGTTTTTAGATGTTAGTTTGATTTACTTCCTTCCAGGAAACTCAACACTTCTCCAGATGTCTTACCCAGATCTGTAGTTTGATCCTCTTGTCATTCCTGTAGATGGTCTTCACCTTGAAGTCAATGCCCACTGTACTGACGAATGCCGGTGTGAAGGAGTCGTCGGCATAGCGGAACAAAAATGAGGTTTTGCCCACACTGCTGTTGCCAATGATGAGGATCTTGAACATATAGTCAAAGTTTTGGTCCGAAGACTCCTTCTGCCCGTAGGTCGCTGTTGCTGAGGCCATCTGTGGACAGAGACAAACGAGAAAAATAAAACTTTAAAGCAACATTATGTAATAGTTTTGGTGCTACACCCACTTACAATAGATTGAATGAAGCATCTCTCATTCCCACTCCTATATGCCTGTTTTTGCACTATGTAACTTGGTTGATTTGGGATAAGATCTCCTGTGCGAAGTACGTAACACTTAACTGACACACCAACTGTCACTAATTTTGGTGAAACTGGATAATATTATATGGAGAAAATGTGGACTGCAGGTGGCCTCTTTGGTCATTTGCTCCTTTTAGTCACATACAAGGCAAAGACGCTAAGAGAAGTCAGTTGATCTGATAAAACTTAAAGGAAAACTGTGGGTAAGAAAAAGAAAATGCAGACTGGTCCTGCAACAATTAGTTGATTATTCTTTGTTAGTCAAATCGTTTCATAATTTATTAATCATTTAAAATTATTTTTTAAACAATAATGCTGAAATTATTTATATTAAACTGAATATATTGAGTTCTGGAGTGCAGGTTGAATAAAACAAGCAATCTGAATACATCTCCTTGGGCTGTGGGATACAGATGTTTTTCACACCATTTAAAAAACATTAATTACAATTAATTAAGAAAATAATTGAAAAGATGACAGAGGATTCTTGCTGATTTAGACCCAGATGTGGATTGAATTCCTCTGTGATACAGAATGGACCCACAAACTGGGGATGTTAGCTTGCAGGATTAACCCTGAGAAGCAGGTCGGGGGACGGGATGAGGTACTGCTGGAACCTGGCAGACATTCGTTTGTAACCGAGCGCCACGAGCCTTTATCCAGGCACAGCTGATGATCAAAATGTAGGCGTGGACATGACTTGAGGGTTTCCTGGTTGGCAAAGCCGACCCTCTCTGAATTAATGACACTATATTATGTAGAAAAGGTCACACATTTAATGAGTGTTTAGACAAAAGATGTGATTCTGTCAGCATCTGTTAGGCTCAGCATAACAAATGATGGTGATTAACTAGTCAGGCTTAAACACTTCACATTTGCTTCATGGTAATTAATCAAAGCAGCACATTGCAATGTCAGGGGAAAACAGAAAACCCATCTTCCCTCTTTTCTCAATTTGGCAAAATGTTGGAGGCAAATCTCAATCAGTCACAATCAGCTGGGGATGTTTGAGGAATAATTCACTGCACAGGCAGCTGCGGGTCAAACACCGAGATTTAGTTATTTTGGAGTTTTATATTCACCAGCTGGATGTGTTTTTTAACATTAGTAGCTCTGTATGTACCGTCGATTACTGTAATCAGAAGGTTATTTTAACCAGCAAACGTTGACTGCTCCTTCATGGCAGGAGTCCCAGCTGGAGTTACAGTCAAGGAAAGATGTAGTTTTACACCAACAATGACACCGCTAAGAAGTAAGTATATGATAGAGGTAACTTTAGACTAGCCCACACACAGTATCTACAACAGCAGGTAGTTATGCCAACTGGAGAGCTATAGGCTAACCAAAACATATATCTGCTATTCAATGCAGTTTCCCTACGACATCTTGAACAGATTGATCCCAAAGACAAGATTCAAGCTGTCAGAGCTTCATGCTGCTTGGTCACATTTACTTTGTCTATGTTAAAATTCCTGAATCTCTACAACAATTGTGATCAAAATCATCATGACCGATAAAAATGGAGACAAATATGAGAATAACACTGTGGTTGACAAATAGCATATTTCCCTTTAACTATGTGAACGTGATGCCTTTCTTGAACAAGACTGCTTTTTTGGACAGAAACCTTAACTTTGCAAACCCTGAAGTTCCTCAAGACTGAAACATACTTCTTCAGGCTGCATGTTGGCAAACATCAGGTGTTGTTTGGAGACTTTTAGTATTTATAACTTGTTCTTTTTTTTTCTTTCTCTGTTTCAAATTTCCCCCTGACAGGAATTTGATCAATTAATCATCCAATTAGTTCGCTAGATATGCAGATCTGCATTAAATTGGTGTGAATATCAGACCCACCCACAGTCCGAAGTTGGAAAGGTATGATGACGGCTTCTGAAGCAGCTCTGAAGAACTGGAAGCTTAATGCCAGCTTCAGTAGAAACACCATCAGCTACATGCTTGCGACAGAACCGTGCTAACTCCTTACTGTGCTACAAGAATTCAGGGCAACAAGGGGCTAAAAGGATTCAGGAAACCTTGACTCTTGAGGAGAGCACAATGATTTGAGCCCACAGGCTTCAGAGTCCCTGCACCCTGCTCTATATTTAGACTGTTATCTCAACTCGGCTGCAGTGGAACACGAGAACTCTCAGGGAATAAAGCACAAACAAAACAAGTGCACCCTCCTCAGAGCTCCGGCCTATCGGTTTACATGAAGGAACACAGAGATGCTTGATAAATAATAAAAAAGCACTGACCCTTCCTCAACACATTGGTGTTTTTAGGCAAAGGGGGGCTGAGAAGGCAGATAGAGATGTAACTTAAAGCTATAACCCAACCTGCTACACCCACTTACAACTGTAACTGGAGTTCAAACAGGAAGTTAAAGTGAAGACGAATAGCTAGACCAGAAATCACACAAAAAAATGTTTTATAATTCCTCGTCTAATTTGTGTAAATAGGATTTTGTTTCTCAGGCTCTTAGTTTGAGGACATCTGAACTCGCAGCAGCATGGCTGTCGATTTCTATTTGGTTGATGACAAGTTTGTCTCCGCCTGTGACGTCAATAATTCCTCACAAATCTGCAGGCTGGAGCTCCTGCATGTACTTCAAAAGACTGCATGATTTACAATAAACATTAGGAGATATTATTATTTATTAAGAGTCAGCATTTTAACCTCATGGTCACTGTCATAAAACGATGCTGCAGAACTTGATTGGCATCCAGTTGAGTCTTTTAGACGACTGAAAATGTGACTGAAAAGTCTCAGAGCTCTGCAGTGAAGTGAACTGCAGTGTGACTCACGCAGGGTGAGAGAGCGTAATCTATACCAGCTACAGGAAAAGAGAACAAACACAGGGGTCGAAGGAGACGTACGGTATGTTGACAAAGATCCTACCTGAATTAGATGACCCACAATTATCGAACAGCAGGCCGAACTTCTGTAAAATGTTATGGAAAGATGGTTCAGTTGTCCATCAGCATTCAAAGGACGACACACTTATGGAACTAATTCACATGATTATCTAATGTAAGTTCATTTGGTTCTCTGGAAAAAACATATTTTTAAGACTTACTGTGTGTCTCAAAAATATCTTTTTCCAGAAGAAAGAAGTTGACCGAGGTTCTGACCGGCTTGCTTAACTGTTACATAGGAAGGTTTAACTACGCAGATATTAGGAGTTGGTGGCGCTAATTCTCCAGCCAGGTGCAACTAAACCAATGCAGAAGAAGAAGCAAAAGGGATAAAGTAATGAAAAGAGTTCCAGTCAAACATCAAGAAAAAGGATGGAAATGTGGCATTTATGTTTGTTCCAAGAACCAGTGTGTAGATTATAACTCTATACCACTCGCATCTGTATTTGACGACCATGGAATGAGTACGGCCGTGGAAAATGTAAATAAAACGTTATTTGTTTATCCGTTCTGAGCTACTGTAGAAACATGGGGGACTGCACGGAAAGCGACCCGCAGCATCTGTAGATACAAACGGCTCAATCTTAGGTAACAAAAACACAACGATTCCTATAGTTAATTAATTATACACTATTGAAAACATACCTATGAATATCATATTGCATACACTGGACCTTTAATTTGGGAAAGGCTACAGTCTCCTCATCACTCCACACAGATTTCATCTTCCACCATTTTTTATCTCTTCAGTGACAGTTTGAGAATAATTCACCTGCTTCATCTACATCATGATTTACTTTTCTATTTCCATTGAACCATTTTGGTTTTCTTTATCAAATTTGGCTACTCGGGCAAGCAACTCTTTTTATTTCTGGCATTTCTCAGATTTTAAAACGCGCATTAAAATAAAACATAAAAACACATTTGTGAAACACTTTATCAAAACATTATATAATTCTGTATGTTGAATTCAAGTGGTAACCATTTAAAAAGCACTTCACAAAAATAACACAATATACCTTAAACTACAAAATGCTAACATTAGCCTTAAATCTTGCCTTAAATTTTGCCTTAAATGGCCTTAAATGTAAAGATATGACTGAAACAACAGTGATATCACACTTGATCACAGTTTGGTGTTCGATTTCGTCTTCGGCCAGCCTTATTAAAAATGTATTTGCTCGTGTTACTGTTGCACCAAAGTGTCTCCACTCAGCAGATACTTCAGCCCATGTGCTTCTTATCAGCGGCTTCCTTTGAGCTGAGTCAGCGGTGTTGCAGTGACAGAACATTAGGAAATAAGTTTTAAACAGACATTCGAGCCAAGTTCTTACAGTCAGTTTAGAGTCTAAACTTATTGATTATCTTTGCTTCTTCATATTAATTACCCTTTAATACAAGCTCACATCTATACACTTCACCTCTTTCCCTGCATTTTCAACCACTATTTCTCTTTTTCCCCTACATGTCTCTATAAAACATATTTCTATCTGAATTCATTCCCCATTTCAGGAATATTTGCTTTATCTGTCAAGGTGCTGCAGCTTGATCTGACCTCCTGTCTCTTTCCTAAAATCTACAACGTGGATTTACTGAGCTTGTTCTGGAGCAAAGTGCTGGTTTGATACCTAAAAATGGAACGTGAGCATGTGACAGTTTTTAATAGCAGCGATTAGAGGTTGAATATTAGCAGCCACTTCTGGAAGTCTGGATCTTGTCAAACATTTTCAGAGGAGGCCGTTGAGTGTCTGCTGTACGTGGCGGTGTGGTGAGATTACCGCAGCCTTTCCTCTGCGTCTCAGAGATTAGCTGCGGAGAAGAGAGTTGGCTTAACCTTCACTAAACACTAATTTGATACAGAAGCTTACAGACCGAGGCTTCTGTGCTTAATCTCAAAGTAATTAACAAATTCTCATCAGGCAAATGTCTTCCAGCC